AGTATACTTATGTACAATATATTATGTTGAACATTGTTGCTCCTGGATGGATCACAGCCAACCCAATTATTTTCAACACAGCTCCATGTCCTTGGTCATGGTGCCACAGCACTTAAAAGAATAAACTTCATAATTCTCAAAATTCTGACTCTTTGCTTTTTTATTAACAGCATTTACTTGTACTTTTACTTTCAATACTTAAGTACATTTAATATCAGAAAATTACTTTTGATACTTAAGTACAATAAATATCGGATACTTTAAGACTTTTACTCAAGTAGTATTCTAATAGGTGACTTTTACTTTTACTGGAGTCATTTTCCAGTAAGGTATCTTTACTTTTACTCAAGTATGGCTTTTGGGTACTTTATACACCACTGGTTTTGGATGAACATGCAAATTTATCACAACTGCTACGAACATCAACTACTCTAAAAGGCAACCAAATTGACAACAAAGTGTTGATTTGTGCACAAAGAATAAAAAAGGGTGTGGAGGGAGAAACCAAAAAAAATAAACGTAATGAATGCCAACACTGAAGATTACATTATTAGTGATTAAACAGGAACCCAGCAGACTTTCTTCACAATAATAACTTTAAGAATAACAGCAGCAACGGCTTGGAAAAGAGGCATGTGGACTTGTTCATTGGACAAAATTTGCCAAATGGTCAACCTGCGGGGTTAGAGATTTTGGAAGAGGAGGGAGTAAAAACAAAATATGTTTTCAGCCATGACCTTCATTGATATTAAACTAAAAGCTCAGACAGTTTGGGAATGTGCCTCTTTTGATTTTATTGATGATAGGATGCCCTATAGTGGCCTGCATTATCCTAGGTTCAAATTTGACAGATGGCATTTGTTGCATGTCATTCTAAATGTGTCTCTACCCTCATTTCCAGCCTAATAGACAACCAAATAAAAGCATGAAATGTTAACAAAATGATTAGGGATGCACAATATGGTTTTCTGTTTTTTTTGCCAATATCCGATATGCTGATATTTTTCAACTCGCTTGGCTGAATGCCGATACCGAAATACGAACACTTTTTTTTCCCACACAAGACATGCAGAATCAAGTCTCTCCATTAGTGGAATTATAATATTATTATGCTTACTGTTATAGTCATGGCCCCGTGGCAAATGCAGACATGAAATACAATGCTTTTCAAAATGTAAGCCTACACATTCACTGGGTGTCAATTTATAAATTGCAATTAAAACATGTAAAACATGTAAAATATTGCTCAATGAGGTTAATAAATTATGAAGAACACAGACATCTGTCAGTATCAGCCATGCATGTTAACATGTTTACATGCCTGTTGAACAGGTGTTTTAATGCTCTTGCAGTAACAAGGATAGTTTTCGCCACCTCGACTTATTATCACGTCTAAGGTCATAATAATTTAGCCCCGGGGCGTGTTCAATACCGGGTTTTGGTACCTGTGAAAGCGGCCTGTGAAAGCGAATAAAATGTTCATCTCTGGCTGATGCCGATATTTTATCTTAAAGCTTTTATCTGCTGACACTGATGATGTGCCGTTATCATAGTGCATCTCTAAGAAAAAGCTTTTTACCTCTGCCAATTTAATTTATTCTTCCAAAATAAAAAATTGGTGTTCATTAGTGAAGATTATCTTGCTGAAGTATACAAAAACTTATTTATGAGCTTATTTTATGCATTAATCCACAAGTTTTTAAAAGGACACTTTTCAATACTGTGAGCACCACAAACTAAATGAATTTCACCTCCATTATATTTGGGTGACAGAAATCTCAGACAGATATATCAAAACCTCAGCAAATACAACAAAATGGATGCAACACCCACATCACTTGATAGAAACCAATGAGAAAGTCTGGTTTTGATTTGAATGTGCTGCCCTTTAACTGTAACTTGTACCTGCAAATAGGCAGCCAACAGTGTGTGTGTGTGTGTGTGTGCGTGTGCGTGTGTGTGTGTGTAGGTGTGTGTGTGTGTGTGTGTGTGTGTGTGTATGTACAACATGTAGGCCACCTACCTCTGCTAGGGACCAAAAGGTCAGTGTTATAACCAGAACATCTGAAACCCAAACTTTGGCGTCTATTAGTCACCAGCACATGTGAGTGCACATTAATGAATATTCATATGAAGTTGTCTCTGCGGCAGCACATTCAATGTAACTAGTGTAACCTAGTATGCACCCAGAGCAAGGTGTATTACACAACCACCGTAACATACTTCTCCATTAGACTCCCAGTTGCACATATACATGCACATGAAGCGCCACACGTCCAGTGTTTTTATTGTTTTTCGGTTAATAGTATCACCCATTGTTACCCAGCATTAAAAACTCACAGTGTTCCCTGTGATGTTTTGAGAACAGTGTGGTTTAGTCGGGCCCTGGGGAGCTCCTGCCTCTCTCCAGCCACGCTAGCTCTTAATGAGACATCCACATGCACAGGACACACTCTGCTCCTTCTAATCGAACGACTTGCATGGAGGGCCACAACTGCCCCCCCTTTTTCCCCCACCCCTTTTCCTTCTTTCTTCTCCTGGCCTGTTGGTTTGCATCTCCCCATCCTTGTTTCTTTTCTTGCAGATGGAACAGCATGGGTGTCTGGGCCAGTCTGCACAGCCTGGACTGTCCACCTCCCTTCCTCTCCTCTCCTCTCTTCTTCTTCTTCACCCTAGGTTGACTCTGCAGAACACCTAACTCAAATCACTCCTTGTTATGGTCCACTGTGTCATCATAAAAATGAGAAATTCATTTCTAACTGAAGACCTTGTCTGGTGAAGCTGACCAACAGAATTGCAAAATAGTCTTAATATCACTGAAAGGTCACCAGTCAGTTCATGTTGGACTCAAGTAGGTCCTTTAAATGCATTAAAGGGATTGGGACTATCAGAAAAGATCATAACTGAACGAGCAAAGTCACAACCTTCAGAGTGCCTCTCTTGGCCTCTTATGTTTCGAGTATTGTGATTTTTCTTCCTGTAGACCTGAAACATTTTGTTGATTGAAGTTAGTTGACTGAGAGAAAATTAATTCACAGCAATTTAGATAATCAATGAATTATTTGGATACAATAAAACATTTGAAGGTCCCTATTAGGATGTGTTACTTTTCTGTGTTTTACGTCATTGTCAGTGTGTTATCTTTGAAGAAATCATTGACCTATCTATCGACAGATTATATATGTAAAAGACTTGTCACGTAAGAGATTAGAAATCAGGTTTATGCTTTAGGTTTCAGGAGTGGTTCTGACAGTCAACCTGGCCTTTGACCCCTCACTCTGTGCTGTAGTGAATAACGCTGCGCCCCCATTTACAACTCTGCTTTGTTGAGAGAAGAGAAAGATCTCGCCCCTCGTTCATGGTTCTGTTTGGACGTTGTTCTCTCCTTGACAGGATGTCTAGTTATTTCTGCCAGAAGAATCACACGATCCCTCGTGTGTGCGTCAGTGAGTGAGTGTACACATCTTTGTCTGTCCACGGCTAATCTCGCATTCTGCTGCAGAAAACGTCATAAATACTTTCGGGTGGCCAGTTATGGCTGCATGCTCAAGGACTTCTCAAGGTTACTCGCAACTTCTCAAAACACCTTTTACTGCCTAGGAGAGAGGTTACTCTGTGTATTCAACCGTAGATCTAAATCTGCATAAACAGGAAGGCAATCCAAAAAAGACCAAAGAGGAAGGAAATATCAAAAAGCCTTTATTATTGTGGCGAAATCATTAAAAGCACCAACATGTTTCAACCAAAGCTCTGTGTCGAGGGACACAATAACGGAACAGCTTAGTGAGTTCAATTTCTTTTTTGCAAAATCGTATGAAGTGTCTTAGCCGATACGACAACTTTGAGCCGCTTGTTTGCATGCATTGCTGCTTGTTTTTTGAGACACCTTACAGGCCATTGGTGTCTAGAAGGTGGGTTGGTCATTTGTGGGTTGTATTAATTCAATCACGCATTACAGCAGTGGTCATTGCAGACACACCTGGCAGGGATCTGCACACTATTGAGTGCACCTTCCTAGTTTAAATCTGTCCTGGCTGTGCTTCCTCTTTTCTACAACAGTTCCCTGTGTGCTTCTTGTCTCTCAATGTCAGTGTGATTCCCAGTCCATTCATGACCTAGAAAGAACTTTGGATGAACAACTGAAAGTAGGTGTCAAAACCACCCGGGGTCATATGTCTCGCTTACAGTAAGCATTCACAATCTGTGTCTAAGCATCGCCAGCCGCCTGTCTTGATGTGGACTCGGTAAATCAAGACCTCTCATGACCAAAATCTATTTAATTGTGATAAATATCATGGACTCCATATCTGAGGAGAGTTTTATTCATTATCCTGAATTCCATAGTTGAGGAGATAACAATCAAGTGGCATAACCTTGGATTCTATAGCCTCATCGTGATTACATGCTCTCGTTTGAGACAAAATTGACCTCCCTGTTCTTTGCTCAGAACCTTATTTGACTCCTAAAGGGGCCCTCAGAAAGGGACTTAACTTTTGAAACTCAAAGCTATGAAGGGCTTTGCACTAACGTTGGTGGTTGAAGGCTATAGCAGAACATAAATGACTATCTATAGGTCCTTCCATCGAAGGCCTACGGAGACACGTTTTGACAGATTGCTCAGCAGAGAGATTCAACAGGGATAGGGGCGTTCACAGGCAAGTGTCAAACTAGCAGCTGCGTCAAGCTACCACACATATACAGAAGGTGGCAGAAAGCAGAGCTATTTCTGCTTTACAATAAAAGCAAAACAATGTTCGTCTTAAAAAACAGAACTGAATAAAAAAAAACTAAATCATGCCGTGCATTATGCCCAAACTGGCCTTTATGGTAAAAAAATCGACTTTAAAATGGCTTCGGACGTAATTTTTTTTCATATATTCTAACCATGTAACTTTAATCGAAGATGGCAACAACAAAGGCTTTTATTCTGAAAGGACAAGGCAGAAGCGATCAACTTTGTTTCATTGAACTTGACACCGTTTCACTAACTGTCCGCCCTGCCCTGCCTGAGTTTTCAGTTGAGTACGCCAGGGCAGCACGGCTGTATTATATAACTTTCATGTACTCACGGGTTTAATGGCGCAAGAGCAGAATATCGCGGCGCATATCTGTGGAATCACTGCGGAATTACCCTGAAATCGCGAGCGAGTAGGCGATCAATCACTTTTTTTTTTTTTTTTTTCTCATACTGGCGACGTACGTCAAAAGTTATCGACAGATCGGGCAAGCAGGCGCGCACACACGGTGGATCTCGACTGCGCCAACCAGGTCAGCGACGCTGTTGACTTTAGTTCTAAAACAGTTGAAATTGCGGACGATGTTTTCCTGCCGCAAGGGGAGAGAGGCGGCGACAAACCCAGCTGACATTTCACCGCGCAACATTGCTGCAAGGACCGGGTTTTAATCGAGACCTTTGACTGTGTGTGTGTGTGTGTGTGTGTGTGTGTGTGGACGTCGCGTTATTTCACTTATGTTTTCCAACTTGGACTGACGGGAGATGACCTAACTGGAAGAGCGCATCCTCTCACTACAGGTACGATCTGCTTATACTGCAACAACCACTTGTTTGTATCGCTGGAGAATTATCGAGGGAGGCAAACGCTTGGTTGTCTCTCCCCGCCTCGTCCCCGGTGCTGCGTGGTGTGCGCACTGACAACCCTGCACCGTGCGCCCCGCTGACAGATCTCCTAACCCGCGCTCGGCGCAACCGTCTTATTTCTGTATAAGAAAAGGAAGAAAAAGAGAACCGGTTGCACAAACGTCAGCTTATCTCCGGCCGTGGGCATGTGATCGGTGCAATTTCCCATCGCAGCCAACAGGTTGCACTAATGCTGTAATGATGTGTTGTGCTGTTTGGTGGGAAAAGTACAGTAGCCTATGGCAAGTCAGGAAACTCCAAACTTCAGGGGACTTTGATACACCAAAGATCTTCATTAACTTCTCTACAAAAAAAAAAAAAGCATCACACCAGCAATCTCAATTAGGAAAGACTGTGTGTCCCAGCCTGACAAGTCATGACATTAAAATACAAGTTCAGAATGATCTGACCGATGCGGGCCCTGTTTTGGCCCTGACACTGACATTGAAACAGAGAATTTGACGCAGGTGACATCTTCTGTTACTATTGGGATTCAAATTAGTGAGCCGCAGTATAAACAGCACAGAGCTTCTACTTTGCACAGGTTGTTGCCACGCGATTTTGCTTGCATTCAGTTGATTGTGTTATAGTTTTATTTAAATTTCTTATTTTGTAAATGGAGTTTTGACTTGAGTTGTTAATTTGCGCTCTGTTGCAAATGGAGATGGACAGTTATTGGTGACTGCTGCAAATGCCCAGAGACCCTTAGTGGGTCCTTCGACAGATGTGTGTGCTCGGCTGTATCTGGGATTGTCAGTGGCACTGGCTGTTACACAATTTATGCCTGAGCATTGCTTGCGCTTCTTGACGCTCGAGTTGAGTGGAGGGCACAGTTCAAAGAAATAACATGAGCATTATGGTCAGTCATGTTATGTAATGGCTGTGGTCTCCTTTTTTTTTCTTTTCTTTTTTTTTTTTTTTTTTTTTTTTTTTT